TATGTGAACTGCTGTATGAAAAGTGAATTTACTCTGTAAATCTTCACCCAAATCCTAAAAAAAAAAAAAAGAAAAAAGAAAACAGAACGAAGAAAATCCATGAATCAGAGAAGAAACCAGACTACAGGACTAATTGTTTACATCATCTACAGTCTCCTCTGCCTTGAGATCAGAGGAACTAAATGGAGCTTGGCTACCATACCAAATGTTCTGATCAGGGTCACAACAGACGTGGAAAAAAGTGTGGAATAAAACTTCAAATTCTCAAAGAATCCAGACATATTGGACCCATTGAGACTGGAGAAATTCCTGAGACTGCTGCCCTGAGATACCTTTTATTTATTTATATTATTTTTATTTTAAGAGCTTGTTTTACATTCAATGTAATGCGTACATTTAGTTTCATTCCCCATTTGCCATGTCCAATCCTAACCCAGTCTCCTCCCCTCCCTACCCTGTAACCCTCCCTCTGTACCCATCATATTTATGCACTTCTGTTTGTCCTGCATTTCCTCAGTTTGAATGCTGGTCCTCTCATGTCCCATGGTCTATTGCTCTAAGGGATGTATTACCATAGAGTATGTGGGTGCAGCACCTTGGGCTGAGTGGTCTGCGTGTACATCTTGTTAATTATTGGGCTGAGAGCCCACCCCTGGGGGTGAGTTTTATTCCAGGCACTGAATGTATTCCAGGGCCATAGTACTGGGATTCTCACCAGATTTCATCTGACCAGTAATTCTGGTCATTACTGAGTTTTTGGATTTTGTTCCACATTTTCCCTCCCATTCCATCCAGGATCTCCAGATTTGATCCTTTCCTGAGTGGTTGGCATTGGTAGCCGGACACCATCCAGTTCTTCTGGTCTCGAAGGCCATTGTGTCCTAGGGCTGATTGCTTCTAAATGCCCTTTTTTAAATTGCGTTCTTCTTCACTTCTGACGCTAGGAGACCATTAGCTACATCTTAGATAGCTGCTTGAAAGCCTTTAAGACCCCAGTCGCTACTCACTAATGTAGGATGTGGAGCAACGCTTTTATGTATTTTGTTTACCAGTTGAGTCTGGTGCCCCCAGTACTATGGTCCTGAGGTAGAAGATCTATTGGATCTTTCTCCCATAGTGTCAGGATGTCTGTGAGGGATTGATTACTCTGTGTCTGTCTTCTATTGTTTCTGTAAGGACTGCAGGTATTTTGTATCCTGGAGTCTGTACAAGATTAGCCTCAGCTGAATCTATCCTTGGTCTAGAGTATACCTCTATTCACTGACCCGTCTGATCATCTCAGGTATTTACGTGCTTATCTGTATAGCCTAGTGTTTGGTGTTAATGGCAATGTGGTATTGTGGACACATTGGCTGGTTCTAGCATCTGTCGTCTATCTCTTACGTGCACAGTTCTCATTTCCCAATGTTATTATGGTGGTCATACATCCTTCCTGTATATCCCTCCCCCTACCCATGTCAGCATGTAAGCCCCAACTAGCCCTAAATTAATCCCTCCCCGTCCCTCCCCATCCCTGTAATCTACTAGGTGAGTTCTCTTTCCCAAGCAAACCCTTCTCTGTCTTTTTACAGTAATGGGCTCATACAGTACTTGTCCTTCTGCGACTGACTTATTTCACTCAGCATAATGTCCTCCAGGTCCATCCACGTTGCAAAATGATTAGCATACTGAGACACTCTTTAAAACCTGAACCAAAACTATCCCCTGAAGTCACCTTTTAACTAAACAGCAAATCAGCTCAAAAAAGTAAAGAATTTCATCCTTGGGCACCATTCTCTTTTAAGAAATTATCTATATGAGAAGAAATGGACACCAGTTACTCTAAAGGGGCAGTGAGACTAAATTAATGGGAGTGAGAAAAATAGAATGAAAATAATAAGAATGTTGACTCAAAGTGAAGAATATAACCCATTCACTGAATATTATGTATAGAAATTGTTGAATGGGAACTTGTTTTACTGTGTATACCTTCATCAAAAATACAATCAAATATTAAAAAAAAAAAAAAAGACATGTGTTAAAAAGTTTCTAACAGCACTATTTATAATAACCAAAAACTGTAAACCACCCAAATGTCTATCATAGAATGGGTAAACTGCCATATAGTCAAACAATGGAATACCATAAACTCATAATCACAAATAAACAATAACCACATAAAACAATACGGAAGAATCTCCCACAACGTTGAGCAAAGAGAAAAAGAAATAAAACAGCCTATTCTCTATGATTAGGTTTAGATAAAGCACAAAACTAGGCAAAATTAATCTGTGCTACTGGAAATCAAGATAGTGGTTACCTTGTGCAGTGAGAGCACAAAGCAGTGTCTAGGGTTCTAGCAACGTATGATTTCTTGACCTGATGAACAATCATGTTCAGTTGGTGAAAACTGAGCTGTAGATTTATGAGATGAGTATTTTTCTGATTATATTTTATACTTTAATTTAAAAGATAATAATGAAGTAGGTTGGTTGCACAACGGTTAAGTGCTCAGTTGCTAAGAAAGGTCGGCAGTTTGAATGTACCAACTGCTCCGCAGAAGAGACATCGAGATCTGCTCCCATAAAAATTTCAGCCTAGAAACTCTATGGGACAGTTCTCTGTCCTAGAGGGTCGTCAGGAGTCAAAATCAACTTGTCAGCACGCAATAACAACAACAATAATAAAGAGAAAGGACACTGGGCTGTACAGTGAATGCTGCATTTCCTGAGCTCCTGCTCCTTTCCACTCACCTTGCCCAAAAGCTCTTCAAACTCCGGGGACCATTCCTGCATCAGTGTATCAATATCCGGCATAGGCCTAAAAGTGTAGAAGTATATATGAACAAGAAACACAAACTGCTGGTAACAGTAACCTCTGGATCAGGATATTCTAAGAGGTTCTCCATCTGGGATATTACGATTCAGGAGAACCTAGGTCGGGGCAAACCAAACTTACCCAGGGCCTGAGGTTTGGAGGCGCTGGCTCAGAGATGATAATAGATAAATCACAATCTTTATGTTTGCAATCTGAGTCTGTAACTGCTAGGATCCATAGGACCTCAGGTCGATGAAATACATCCCTAGCCTTTGGATCTCTTCTCAGGAGTGACAGATTCACAGTTGCTGAAAGGCAGTGTAGATTACCATGAGGAGGAATGTGGTATTTCTTACCTGGTATAATGCACAGTTGCAGGGGGCTTAGAACGGTGTAACTCAGAGATGCTCTCAATCCATGTGTCAATGGCTTTGGGATTTTTTTCTGCATCTTCCAGGCTCTTTACTTTCATGTGTTGCTAGAAAAATAAAGGAAAAGCCTAGCTGGCCACATTGAAGCAGCTCTCTTGTTTATTCAGAGTGGCTCATCAAATCTGCTGCTATTTCTCAATTAGCATAACATACTACACAAAAACACTGTTCTACATCCTACTTTGATGACAGCAACTGGGGTCTTAAAAGCTTGCAAGCAGCCATCTAAGATGCAACAATTGATTTCTCCTTGTCTGGAGCAAGAAAGAATGAAAAAAAAAAGATGCATGGAAACAACTAGTCTAGGGAACCAGTGGGTCACATGAACCTCAACCTACATGACCCTGAGACCAGAAGAACTAGATGGTGCCTGGCTACCACTGTCAACCACTCGGAAAGGGATCAGTGCAGGAGATCCTGGATAGAGTGGGGGAACAATGTGGAACAAAATTCAAAATCATAAAAAAGACCAAGCTTTCTGGTCTGATAAAGCTTGGTGAAACCCCCAAGACTATGGCCCCTAGTTACCCTTCAGGTCTGGAATTGAACTCACTCCTGTGGCACAGGCATATGGAATGAACATTTGAACCAGGCAGGTATACTCCTTAGAACAATCAACCATGGGAAAACAGAAGGCAGTGATTTGTCCAGGAAGATGGCTCAACGGGCAGGAGTGCATGGGAAAGAGGGACACAGGGAAGAGGTGAGTACAGGGAAAAAGCACAAAGAGAGCTGTTACATTATGGAAACTGCAGTCAATGTCATGAAACAAGAGTGTATGAACCACTGTATAGAAAATGAATGTGCTCTGTAGACTTTCACCCAAACCACAATTTGAAAACACAAATCGACCAACCTGCGAGGTACACCAAAAAAAAAGATACTACTTTCATACCTACTTAGGGTAGCTAGAATGAAAAAGACAGACAATAACAAGTACTGGCAAGGATGAAGAGAAATTGAACTCTTATTTCTTGCTAATGGTTTTGTGAAAACGGTATAGTCACTTTGGAAAACAATCTGGTGGTTCATCAAAATGTTAACCATAGAATTACCATATGACCAGTAATTCTACTCCTACACACATGTGCAAAAGAAATAAAATTACATGTCCATGCAAATACTTGTATGCAAGTGTTCTTAGCAACATTAATAAAAGTAGAAATAACAAGTGAATAGACAAACAAAATGTGGTATAGCCACACAATGAAATACTATTTAGCTGTAAAAGGAAATGAAGTAGCTACCAGAAGTTAGGGTAATGGAAAATGGGGAGTGACTACTAATGAGTAGGGGGTTTCTATTGGAGTAATGAAAATAAAAACCATTGAACTGTACATTTTAAAATAGCGAACTTTATGGTATGTAAAGTATATCTCAATAAAGCTGTTGGGAGTAAAACCATGGAAAAAAACCAGCACAGTTCCTGTTGACTCCAACTCATGGCAACCCCATGTGTGTCACAGTAGAACTGTGCTCCACAGAGCTCTGAATGACTGACTTTTTAGAAACAGATCACTAAGACTTTCATCTGTGGTGTGTCTGGGTGGACTCGAACCTCCAATTTCTTGGTTAGCAGCCAAGTGTGTTAACTGTTTATACCAAAAAATAGTAATGGAGTAAAACTATAGCTATCCTTTTGATGGGCAGAAAGTCAACTTTATGCTAGTAGGGCCCCTGCTCTCAGCCCACTCCAGCTGGGACCTGTACTAGGCTAGTACCTTACCGTGACGTTGTGCTGCTTGGAATTCTCTGTTAACCAGAGTGAGAGCACTGTAGGGTCTGACTGCTTTGTAGAAGGTTCGTCCAATACTAACAGGCCAAGGTTGTCAGGTTTTCCATCAGGACGTGGGACCTAGTTGAGGGAAAGGTTAAGAAAGTAGAAAGAAAAATGGGAAGGACATAATAGGGAAACATCTGCTGTTTTGAAAAAGGTGAAGAGGAAGGACTGTTCCAGTCCATAATTAATAGCATTAAAAAGCATGCTTGTACATCATGCTGTTCTTGTTGTTGCTAGGTGCCACTGAGTCAGCTCTGACTCACAGCAACCCCCTATACGACAGAACGGAATGCTGCCCAGTCCTGCGCCATCCTCACAATCCTTGCTTTGCTTTGAGTCCATTGTTGCAGCCAGTGTGTCAGTCCATCTCATTGAGGGTCTTCCCCTTTTTTGCTGACCCTCTACTTTACCAAGCATGGTATCCTTCTCCAGGGACTAGACCCATCCAACAACACGACCAAAGCAGCTGAGATGAAGTTTGGCCATTCTTGCCTCTCGAGAGTATTTCAGGTGTACTTCTTTTGGAACAGATCATTCATTCTGTACTAAAACATGCTGTACTAAATACTGTATAGGAAAAAATACATGATATATAGGAGATTAAATATAAAGCTGAAGCCATGGATAATTAAGAGGCAAATGCCTAACATTATTATTACCTAACAGCAATGAGTATAATTAATTTAGTATAATTTAGGGTAGGTTAAGAATGAAATGAAGAATATATATCTAAGTATTGTTTTGTTAAAAAGTAAAGATGTCACTTTGAGGACTAATGTGTTCTTGACCCAAGCTATGGTATTTTCAATTGCCTTATATGCATGCAAATAGACAATGATAAGGAAGATTGAAAAACTGATGCATTTGAGTTATGATGTTGGTAAAAAATATTCAATACACTGGATTGCCAGAAGAATGAACAGATCTGTCTTAGAAGTACAGCCAGAATGCACCTTAGAAGCAAGGATGGCAAGACTTCATCTCATGTACTTTGACATATTATCAGGAGGGACCAGTCCCCGGAGAAGGATATCATGCTCTGTGAAGTAGAGGGTCAGCAAAAAAGAGGAAGACCCTCAACAAGAAGGACTGACACAGTGGCTACAACAATGGGCTCAAATATAAAAACAATTGTGAGGGGATCTGAATAAGAGATCCTGGATAGAGTGGAAGAACAATGTGGAACAAAACTCAAAATTATTTAAAAAAAAAAAAGATCAGGCTTGCTAGTCTCATAGAACCTGGTGAAAAGCCTGACACTACAGCCCCTAGCTACCCTCCAGGTCTGGAATTGAACTCCTGTGGCTTCCAGCCAAATAAAAGACCAGCATATGGGCTAAACACTTACATCAGGTAGATATACTCCTTGGAAAGATCAATAGAAGGGAAGCGTATGCACAGGGAGATTGCTTGGGGAAAGGAATGCATGGGAGAGAAGGACACAGGGAAGAGATAACTATGGAGAGGAAGTGGGAAGAGAGCTGTTACACTGTGGGAAACTGTAGTCAATGTCATGAGACAAAATGTGTATGAATTGCTGTATGGAAAATGGATTTGCTCTGTAAAATTTCACCCAAATCAAAAAACAACTGTGAGGACTGGGCAGTGCTTAATTCTGTTGTACACAGGGTCACTGTGAGTTAAAGCCGACTTGACAGCACCTAACAGCAATAGGCAATTCAAGTCAAGAAGTTAGTGGAATCGTTAATGTAATAAGAGAGGTCAGAAGAAACAGCTAAGCAGTATTTTTTTTTTTTTTTTTTTAGGATGTACTGACTGTACCTTTAAGAATGCATCAATATCCCCAACAGCCGGGATAAAATCAGGAATGAAAGGTTTCAGTTTGTGGTCCAGGTCAATCAACTGAGGCGTGTACCTGAGATTTTGCCAAGGGAAAGTAGAAGCAAACAATCAAAGAAAATTACTTTATTATTCAGGCTAAAAAAAATTTAATGGCACTATTTCAGACTAGAAGATAGGAAATGTTTGGGGCAAGGTGGGGGTGGGAGGGTATGATGGAAGGTTCTATAGACACTTACCTACTGATGTACTGGAAGAGTTCCTTAATCTCAGCAGAAACTGGTAAATGCTCATAATCTGCAGGATCATAGGCCCTGGGGAAAGGAAAATACCATTCAAGGTTGCCAGACAAGGTTGCCAAATAAAATGTGTACTGCAGAGTCCTGGTTTAGCCCATGGTACTCTAACATGACCTTGACCCTAGCTTCTGCCTCCTTCCTAGCATACCTTTGCTGGGGGCTTTGCAAGGCAACTTTAAAACAGACTATAATTAACTCCAATTATGTCTGGCAAAGAACAGAGCTGCAGAAAATCCAAACCATAGTTTTTCTTCGACTTTAGAACACAGCATAAATGATTTTCCCTTTTTGTGAAAGGGATGGAGAGAGAAAGTGGAAAAAGATTTAAATTTCTGACATAGAGTTTGCCCCAAGGAAAAAAAAAGTAATTTTTATAATGATGTTTTTAAGTGTTATTTATACTAATAAAAAATTGGAACAAATATTTAATATTGGGCGATGGTTACACATGTCAAACTGAATACTACATAGTCATTAAAAATTATTTATAAATTGTGTTTTTACTTGAAAATGCATATTCTTTTGTAAAAAAAATAGTAGAACACATAAGATTAGTTACAATTTAGTAAGATGTCACAAACACTGGCAAAATATTTGACTTGGAGGGTTCTTAATAATGTTCTTTTGGAGTATTGCTTAACAAAAAAAAATCAATGACTTAAAATTTATGTTTTACTAGAATGTAACTATGGAAGAAGGATATGATCATGAAATAAGATGGGAAGCATGACAAGTCATGTTTAAGCATGGAAGTTAAATATCTGCCTACTTTACTTCATGGCTACCTGTAGGTAGATAATACAATGGTACTTTTTAAAAAAATTTTATCAAACTGTTTTATTTAATAAATGATGCATGTACATGACACAAACTAGAAGATATGAGATCCTGGATAAAGTGGGAGAAAAATGTGGAACAACACTCAAAATCGTAAAAAAAAAACAGGCTTACTGGTCTGGTGGAGCCTGGTGAAACCTCTGAGACTATGGTCCCTAGTGACCACTCAGGCCTGGAATTGAACTGCTTCCTATAGCTTCCAGCCAAACAACAGACAGGCATATGAGGTGAACATTTATACCAGGTAGGGACATACCTTGTTGTTGTTGTTATGTGCCATCAAGTCGGACCCGACTCATAGCGACCCCTCCTTGGGTTTCCAAGGCAATATCACTATGGAAGTAGATTGCCCCATCTTCCTTCCAAGGAGTGGCTGGTGGGTTTGAACCGCCAGCCTTCTGGTTAGCAGTCAAGTGCCTTAGGTACTATGCTACCAGAGCTCCTTAGAGCAACCAATCATGGTAGACCAGAAGGGCAGTAGCTGCACAGGGAGATAGCTCAAGGGGCAGGAATACATAGGAAAAATGCACACAGGGAAAAGGTAACTACAGGGACAAAGTGGGAAGAGAGCTGTGGAGACTACAGTCAATCTCATGAAACAAAATGGTATGAACTGGTATATGGAAAATAAATTTGCTCTATAAACTTTCATCCAAATCACATAAAAATTTCAATAAATAAATAAAAGGTATGAAACGTATACAGTAAAAAACTTAAAAAAGTCTCCCTCCCACCCCCGTCCTCTTGCCACCAAGTTCTCTTCCCGAAAGGTAACCACTGTTACCAGTTTCTAGTATCCTTCCAGAGACAGTCTATGCCATTTTTTATATGCGTGGTAATACACAATAACCACTTTCCTGTACTTTTTTTTTAAATTTAACAATATTTCTGAGATTGCTCTTTACTAACGCCTATATGGCTTCCTCGTGCTTTTTAATGCCTGGGTAGATTTCCACTGAGTGGTTATCTATCACTTACTTCACAAGTAACTGTTTTAAATGGTTGGGCCTTAGAATCCATTTTGATTAAAACCTAAAGATCTGAGTTGTGACTAATCTAGCATCAGAGCTGGAACAGAATAAGGAGATTTTTTTACTTAAACATCATCCAGGAATATTATGTCTCAATGTCGGGCTTCTCTACCTGTCCGAAAAGGATCTGAGCCTAAAACAGAAATGCTTGCGTGCATGTATATATTTTTCCTTACTACACAGAAATGTTTTGTATATACATAAGTTTATTTTCTCTTTCCCAGAATGTGAGCTCCTTAAAGGCAGGGACCATCTTTTAGATTTATTCCACAAAACCTCATGCAACCTGTAAGCTCACAAACATTTTACAAAGTGCATGACATTATGGGACTCAATGAAGGCGTGGGATTAGAAAGGAATGAGAGCCCATTATGCTGTGTTTCTGAGATATCTAAAAATCCTAAATAGAGGAGATCCAAACAGATGCTGGAATTTTGATTTTTAACTGATACTCTCTTAACCCAGTGTTTTGAAGGAGGCATTTTCCCCCTTGGCTTGGGTGTCCTTGGCAAGGAGTCTTTCCTCACCCTTCCAGAGGGGCTCCATGCTCTTCATCATCATCATCTTCATCAGAATCAGTTTCAGATGAGTCATCATCATCGTCATCGTCATCATTTTCACTAAAGCCCCGCTGAGGTGTCAACTGTGAGGTCTTCTTTTTCTCCTGAGACAGGATAGGGTAGATAAAGTAAGGTCACAGGAAAATGTTCAGTGTACTCTGCCTAGTTCCCTCCTACCATTCTGATACCACCCCCACCCAATCATCAGAAAGACAAGGTGGCACTTCCCAGAAGGGCCTTGAGAGCCTTCTTGCCCCTGCTCAACTACACACTCTTCCCCTTTCTATAACCATACTCCATTTCTTCCCTTGAGGCTTGGGTATAAAGTCCGTGATTTCTATCTAGTGCACCTATCATTTTGGGGCTCCTGAGAGTTCTGCATAAACTATCCAGTCAGTTTCAACCCTAAAACTTAGGGGCTTGTGAGGTAGAAGATGGCAACTCTATTTTGAGAAGAAACAGGAGAAGATGAAGCAGGAAAGACAAACTTCAGAGGATCTTAACATTCATAAAGAGCACAGGAAGAGAAGTTTGTATTCAATTTGTAAAATAGTCCAGAGTAAGCTGTTTGCAGCTATGAAAAACAGAACAGTTCATAATCAAGCCTGTGCCTGAATTCTGACCAGCAGTGACCAAGGGTTTTCAACTTCTATCCAGTGGTATTTCTCTCCCAGGAGTATCTGACCTATTCATATTTCCACAAATTAAATGCAGTGACTATACATTCTATCTCAAATAGGAGACTCTTTTGTTCTTGGCATTACAACCTACCTTTCTGAGCTTCTGGCTCTCTACATACCATCTCACCCTCTCAAGTCCATGAGAAGGGGCTTGGTGGTGCTTGGGGCTTGAAGGGGCAGTTGGGACAGGGTCCATGTCTTTGCCTCTGTGGCCTGGAGCCTGTGGCATGCCCTCCCTTAGGACCTGAAGGATGACCAATTGGTCCCCTTTAAAAGTAAGTCTTGAAACCTTTGTTTTCATATGGCTTATAGTGAGGTTGATAGATACTTGGTTCTAGTTTTCTTAAATAATTTATTATGTTTTTATTTTTATAGTAAAGTACCTACTGGCACATAAAATTGTGACATGCTACAGGACATCAAAAATTGCTTTTGGCCACATCTTCCTCTGAAAGTAACAAAAATTAAACACAGATAATAATATATTCTAACTATATAACAGATAATGGCACATAGACATAGAATTTATTCAGTGACTATGCCTTATTGGTACATAATTGATAAGAGACCATTCTAACAGTCTTTCTCAATTCAAAATTTGTTAAAATTATCCTTGGTCTCATGAGAAGCAGTTTTGTCCAGGGAAGCTTTTAAGAATATTCACTGTCAACTTAAATTACTCAAAAGCTAATCCTTTTTTTTCATTGAACCCACTCCTGTGGCTTCCAGCCAAACAAAAAACAGGCGTATGAGCTGAACATTTACATTAGGTAGATATACTCCTTGGAAAGATCAATCATGAGAGAATAGAAGGGCTGTGTATGCACAGGGAGACAGCTCAGGGGGCAGGAGTGCATGGAGGGAAGGACACAGGGAAAAGGTTAACTATGGGGAGGAAGTGGGAGGGGAGCTGTTGCATTGTGGGAGATTACAGTTAATGTCATGAGACAAAGTGTATGTGAACTGCTATATGGAAGATGAATTTGCTCTGTAAACTTTCACCCCAATCACAATTAAAAAAAAAAAAAGTAGGTCCTTTTGCTGGTTCTGCACGCATCTAAATTGAAAAGATAAATGCGCCTTGAATGCTGGTCACAGCATTAAGACTAGAAGAAAACAATTCAGGATAGATATACAAAATTAGGTGGTTAAATTAGGAAAATGGTTCACTTTCTTTTGTCTGCTTCTTCAAAGTAGTGCTTTATGAAACCCATGATACAAAGAGAGAAGACTTTGCTTACCACAAATGAATGTCTAAAAATGTTACCTTTTATATGTTAAAAAACAACCATCAATACTGAAAATCAAAACTCCAAATACAAGAAACGCTGAAATCAAAGTCTTATGGTCCTATTTTTCTTCCCTTTATATTTCCATTTTGAAGTAAAAGAGCATACTAATTGTGGAGTAGGACCACCTTACAATGTTCACCTTTTAAATTTATGAAATCTGTCTAAATCACTACAGCTTTCTGTAGCAATTCAAATATTATTCACCTGAGCTTCCAAAACTCCTGCTCTTAACCAATCAAAATCCAAAGCCACTGCCATCGACTCCATTTCAACTCATGGTGACCTTTTAGGACAGGGCAGAACTGCGCCATAGGGTTTCCATGGTTGTAAATCTTTATAGAAGCTGACGGCCTCATCTTTCTCCCACAGAGTGACTGGTGAGTCAAACCACTGAATTTTGGTTAGCAGCCAAATGCTTTAACCACTGTGCCACCAAAGCTCCTGCCTGCTCTTGAAGGATAATTAAAATATAACCATTGGCTCATGTGCTAAGGGTGGACACAAACACTGTAAGCTGAACACATGTGCAACACTAAGGTCCATGTGGCCACAGATATAGGTAGTTCTCCATCTTTCTTTGGGAACTGAAGTGATTCTTTAGGTTCATAGAACATCAAAGAGACATGAATTTCGAGACTTAAAAAATTAAAATCTCTTTCACAAAATATTGGCAGCTTCATAAGTGTTGACAATGAAAACTGCCTAAAAACCAGCAATTCCAAACTTGCTCTATCCTAAGAATTGCCCAGAGGCCTTGTTAAAAATATAAAGTCCCAGGCTCCTACCTACCAGTAGTTCTGGATGGGAACAGGGAATCTGTATTTTTTTAAAAATAAGTACATCGCTTGATTCTTATGATTAGTAGCCTTTGCGAAACACTGGCCTACATTTTAAGAAATTTTTTTTTAAAATTGTGATTTGGGTGAAGATTTACAGAGCAAATTCACTTCCCATACAGCAGTTCACATATACTTTGTCTCATGTCACTGACCACAGTTTACCACAATGCAACAGCTCCCTCCCTCTTCCCCTCCATAGTTACCTCTTCTCAGTGTCCATCCTTCCATACACTCCTGCCCCCTGAGCTGTCTCCCTGTGCATAAGCAGCCCTTCTTTCTCCCATGATTGTTCTCTCTAAGGAGTGTATC